AGCTCCTACAGGATGGCGGAAACAAGTAAGTTCCATTCCACTGAAGGAAATCCCTTTCATCAGTAGAGATTTACAACAGGATCCAAGCCATTCTAGAGATACTATATAATTGTCTTCTGACTGGATACAACTTTGAACTGGACTCTCTTTGCAACATTTCCCCCCCACACACACACACACACACCCCTTCTGTTGCTTTCAGCCTCAAATACAAATTCACCGGCCTCGTCGATGTACACATTGTGTATCTGAGGAAGACAATTTTAACTCAAGAAAGGTTATGGTAGAATAAATTTTGTTGGGCTCTAAAGTGCCACCAGACTTTGTTTCATAACATGGCGAATACAGCAGGCTTGCCCATACAAGAGACATGGAAATGGAATTGTGTTTTATTAAGTAAAGGGATTGCTAATGTTTTGTAAAGCAAACAGATATTCTTCATAGATTTAGGTGGGTAGCTGTCTGAAGCAGCAGAACAACGTTTGAATCCAGTGGCACCTTTAAGACCAACAAAGTTTTATTCAAGGTATAAGCTTTCATGTGCATGCACACTTCCTCAGATTATACCCAGAATAAAACTTTGTTGGTCTTAAAGATATTCTTCAATGGGATTTGATAGCTACCAAATGCTTATTTATATGGGCATTTGAGACTCGGGATTGCTAGCTATCAAACATCCTGCCTGTTATGGGTGGCTTGTAGGAAATAGTTTTAACAGATGGAACATAACCAGTGCAAGACAGAGAACTGCGAGTTTTAAGGTTACGTAGACAGGAACCTGGGGGGGAGGATGTTATTTGCTTTTGAGGAAGGTGATTTAAAATGGTCCATCTACATGCCTTCCTATTCCTCTGTGCTTAATTAGTAAATTTTAAAAAGGTGTTAACGGAATACCAGAAGCAGCCAGTACCTCTTCTCACATGGAAAGTGACCCTTTCAAACAGGGGTCCCCAATGTGGCACCCATGGGTGCTGTGGCACCCGCTAAGACCTCTTCTGGTGCCCACCAAGTGTTTCTAGGAAGAGGGTGGGGCCAGGCAGGGCTTTTCCCCAGCAAGGCTTCCAGTGGACTACTGGAGATTTGACTGGCTGTGCAGTTTCTTTCAGTGTTGCTTTGGTGGTGGGCCTGGCGGCAGCCCCATAGCCAGATAATTTTTGTTAGTGGGACAAATATCGGAAGTGGGGAGGAATGCCAAAAACAAACCTGATGTGCCTACATAATCTGGAAGTGATGTATGGAAGTCAGTGACATTGGGGGTGACGCTCACCCCTCCTCTGCCATTCCAACCACCCTCCTGGAAGCCAAGCAGAGAACCAAGCCAGTTCTGGGCCATGCACCCTCCCCACCTTCTCCAAAGGGCCTGATAGATATGCCTCCTTCACAACCATGAAGAACACCATGCTGCACTATACCGTTAAGGCATGTGAGAGAACCCCTACCAGCGCATCACTAAACCCCCCTCCATTAACAATCGCTAACTTGCCTCCTCCATGACAAAAGAGTGTTCTGATGGGCACGCTACTCCTAATGGGGGAGGGGGGAAGCTAATGAGGGTAGCGGTCAAGTCAAGCAGCAGCCTGGAGCTTCAAGCAGTGCTCAGATGCTGGCAGCCAGCAGCAGCTGGTCACCACATGCCAGCTTCTTCTGCAGAGTTTGTGCATGCGCCTTGTCAGTTCTAGTCTCTTGTAAACAAATGCAACAGCACTGGAAACCTCCCTCCTCCTCTTCCTCCTCCTCTAGGCAGAGAAAAGGAGGCTGTGGCAAGAGGGAACGTCCCTAGTGCAGGCGGTGGCAGCAGGGGGGAGGGAGACAGGGTGGCCATGGGGTCTTCCTCCTTCCACAGCCAGCTTCTCAAACTTTGCCTGCCCACGGGTCTGGGTAAAAGTCGGATCTAAATGGATCCTCATGAATTCATATGATTTTTATACTGAAACGAAATAAAACCACCATCATATTGTAGGCCATGTGTTAGTCTACAAGGGGCACCACAAAAAACACGTACCCACAGATTTGTGGCACCACAGCAGCACAAAAACATGATTTCAAAGGACGGATTCTCATGAATTCATATGATTTCTACGCTGGAATGAAATAAGACCTACATCATACTGTAGACCATGTCTTAGACTATAGGCAGCACTCCAAAAATCATGCCCCCATGAATTCGTGGCACCACAAAACTGCAAAAACATGGTTCCAAAGCACGGATCCTCATGGATCCTCAGGGTTTTTCAACTGGGTCACCCGAAACACACCATCAAATCACATAACATGTCCACGGCCACAGCTTGCACCACAAAAATCACAGATCCACGGCTTTGTGGTGACACCATTCTGTAAAAAACATGATTCTGAAGCATGGATCCTCATGGATGCTTCGGCTTTTTGTGCTGGGACACCCCAAACATACCATTAAATCCCATATCATGTTCATGGCCACAGCCTTCTTCACAGAAATCACGGTGCCACGGCTCTGTGGCAACACCATGCTGCAAAAACATGGTTTTGAAGCACGGATCCCCATGGACCTTTATGATTTTTGCATTGTGTCACCCCAACATCACCATCAAATAATATGCCTTGCCCATGGACACAGAATGCACCACAGAAATCATATGTCCACTGCTCCGCAGCGACACCATTCTACAAAAACATGGTTCTAAAGCATGGATCCTCGTGGATCCTCAGGGTTTTTCAATTGGGTCACCCCAAACACACCATGAAATCACATAGCACATCCACAGCCACAACTTGTACCACAAAAATCACAGATCCACAGCTTCGTGCTGAATCCATTCTGCAAAAACAGTATTCTAAAGCACGGTTCCTTATGGATCCTTGGGGATTTTGTGTTGGGACATCCCAAATATACCATTAAATCCCATATCATGTCCATGGCCACAGCCTGCACCATAGAATTCAGGTTGCCATGGTTTTGTGGCAACACAATGCTGCAAAAACATGATTCCAAAGCATGGATCCTCATGGCTCCTCAAGGTTTTTGTGTTGGGTCACCCCAACATCACCATTAAATTACATACGTTGTCCATGGCCACAGAATGCACCACAGAAATCACATGTCCATGGCTTCATGGTGATACCATGAAGCCAAAATATGGTTCTGGAGCATGGATCCTCATGAATGCTTTGGGATTTTGTGTTTGGACACCACAAAGATATCATTAAATCCCATACCATGGCCATGACCACTACTTACACCACAGTATTAATGGGTCCCGGGCTTCGTGGCAACACCATGTGCAAAAACATGGTTCTGAAGCATGGATCCTCCTGGATCCTCAGTGTTTCTGTGTTGGTTCACCATGTATTCACCATCACATCACATATCGGACATCACACGCGAGAGGTGGAATTTGTCTCTACAAGTCCAAGGCCACCACCCCGGGGCTCGGGGAGGCGGAGGAACGTTTCGCCACACCCCCACCCCGTTTTTTAAAGAGCCCCCAAAGAGAGCTGGGGGAGCCATAATGACCTCTCGAGTGAGGTGGAATCACACACAAGAGGTGGAATTTGCCCCTACAAGTCCAAGGCCACCACCCCAGGGCTCGGGGAGGCAGAGGAACATTTCGCCACACCCCTGCCCCGCCCTCCCGCCGCGGCCATTGCAGCTGCCACCGGCCACCGCCACTCGGACAACACACGCGAGAGGTGGAATTTGCCCCTACAAGTCCAAGGCCACCACCCCAGGGCTCAGGGAGGCGGAGGAACGTTTTGCCACACACCCGTTCTCCCGCCGCAGCCGCGGCCATTGCAGCTGCCGCCAACAGCGCCGGGGGCCATAGCTTTTTAAAGAGCCCCTAAGGAGAGCTGGGGGATCCAGAATGGCTTCTCGTGTGTGATGTCCGAGCGGCGAGACATTATACGCGAGGCCATTCTGGCTCTCCCAGCTCTCCTTGGGGGCTTTTTAAAAAGTTATGGCTGCCGGCCCTGTTGGTGGCAGCTGCAGCGGCAGCAGTGGCGGAGGGGGGACGTTCCTCCACCTCCCCGAGCCCCGGGGTGGTGACCTTGGACTCATAGGGGCAAATTCCACCTCGCGTGTGATTCACGCGAGAGGCCATTCTGGCTCCCCCAGCTCCCCTTGGGGGCTCTTTAAACAATCAAGAAGGAAAAAACCTATATATAAAAATCTTTATATTCCCATTCATACTACAGCTGCAATGGCCACGGCAGGGTGGGGTGGGGCGAAACGTTCATCCAGCTCCCTGAGACCCAGGGTGGTGGCCTTGGACTCGTAGGGGCAAATTCCACCTCTCGTGTGTTCACATATGTGGTGTATCAAGTCCTGACAAGTCCTGACAAGTCCAGAGACAAACGCTCCAAGAGACAATGGACTATGCGGATCCTAGCCCGCTCCAATCAGGGGGCTAGGTTCCTGGCCGAGAGCCAATGGGACTCTCAGCCGCTGTAAATAACCTATTGGGAAGTGGGTGGGTGTTTTTGGTGGCGGTTTCTCGGGGAATATAAGGCGGCCTGCGAGCCGGCCAAGTCGTCTTGTTCCGGATAGAATAAAGTAGCTTTGCTGAAATCACTCTCTGTTTACCTACTTTTCAACATAAAAAAAGTCAGAGCCTAAAAAGCAATAGTGGTTTTCTAGGTAAGTTCATATTGTTCCTATACGGTGACCAGAACCCTTTGCTCCCCTCTTCTCCCTTGCCTTTTTAACATCCAGCTTGATATAGATGTCTGGGATTGGGAAACTTGAAAGCTTTCACGGATTCACGCTATTGTATGTGATTTTGGTTGGCGTAAAGTAAAGGTATTACTCGGCCTTTCGTTTTGGATTTGGCTCTGGACCAACGCAGCTACCTGGCACCCCTTCGTCCGCAGACCGGATGACTCTTCTCCTGGCTTCCATGAGCTGTCCAACCACCAGTCCTAGTCTGATCTGACGTCCCGCCAATCAGAACCCCTCGCTCTCCCCAGCGCCCGCCTGCACTGACCGGCCTCCTCCATACGCCAAAGACGAGCCCACGTGACTCGGAGCCTGCCTGCCTGCCTTCCACCCGCTTCCTTCCATGAAGCAAAGGCCTTGTGATGAGGCAAGGGGAACGCGCTATATGATAGGCACTCATTTCCTCCAATTAAAAAAGCGATATGCCGGCGCTGGACTATGGAAAAGTACTATTTACATCACAGGGGAAGGAAAAGAGCTGGGAGGCTGCTGCGCGTGGAGTCTGAAAGGAATTCCGGACACGAGAGGCTTGTCAGGGAAGGAAACGGATCGCTCCAGGGGACACGAATCTGGAGGCGTAGGTAGGCTGCACTTCCACGTGTAAGAACGTCGCGAGGGAATCAGGTGTACGGTGATGCGGTCAGGAAGGAGACGCTCCTGAACCGTCGCCTTAATAGGGGCCGGAAGCGACGTACAACCTGGAGAAATATGGAACCGGAAGAGGGTGTTTTGCCGGAATGTGGGGGTGGTAGGGAGTGGGGAGTTGAGGGCTGCCGGGAGTAGAAGAACTCAAGCGATTTGTTTCTTTAGAGGTAAAAATGTTTCTGCCGGTATTTGGCTTCTTATATTTTTAAGAAGCCAGAAAAGAGCAGTCATAGCTAGGTCTACTGAGAATTCTGCTCAGGGATATTAAATGGCACTTACTCCCAGGAAAGTGTTCTTGGGAATGCACTGGTTAAAAAAGTGTAACTAGCGGAAGACAAGTCATACCCACTACGTTAACTTTTAAAAGAACGAAAAATTAACCAGTCGAATCACGATTTCCGTTACTTCAGTCCACAGGCAGCATGACCCCGTTTCAGTGAGTAATTACACGTTAAATAAGGCCCTCCTTGAGATATCGGTCACTAGTAATGATGTTGACTGAGTGTGCGATATAAAACATATTAACTGTTTTGTCCTTTTGTTGGTTCTTTATAGCTGTCTCGCTGTGCAGGTCTGCCATTCAACAAAGTCACTTTATGTGTTTATACAGAAAAGAAATATGCTTACAAAGCTATGATGAAGAAAACAAAATGGATAAACCAGGATTATATCAATGCATTTACAGAACACCATTTTCCATCTACTCATAGTCTGTAAGCTGTATGATTGAGCTTCGCGTGTTAATTATACATATCAGCAATCACTTTTTATAACCCCCTTTCAAGTTTAAGACCTTTTGTTCTTTAGTCCAGTCCGATTCTTCGTAACCCCACGGACCACATCATGCCAGGCCCTCCTGTCTTCTGCTGTCCTCTGGAGTTTGCTCAATTTCATGTTCGTTGCATTGGTAACACTATCTAACCATCTCATCCTTTGCCGTCCCCTTTTTCTGTTACCTTCAGTCTTTCCCAGCATCAGGGTCTTCTCCAGTGAGTGCTCCCTTCTCATTTGGTGTCCAAAGTATTTGAGCTTCAGCTTCAGTATCTGTCCTTCCAGAGAACAATCAGGTTTGATTTCCTTTAGGATTGACTGATTTGATCTCTTTGCAGTCCAAGGGACTCTCAAGAGGCTTCTCTAGCACCATAATTCAAAAGCATCTATTCTTCGGCGCTTGGCCTTCCTTATGGGCCAACTCTCGCAGCCATACATTACTACTGGGAATACCATCACTTTGATTATGTGGACTTTTGTTGGCAGTGTAATGTCTCTACTTTTTATTATGCTGTCATAGCTTTCCTCCCAAGCAGCAGGTGTCTTTTAATTTCATGGCTGCAGTCACTGTTGTCAGACCCCTGAAGCAATCAGTTCCAAACAATGTTTATTCAGAGAAGTAAAGTTTATTCAGACAGTAGTGCTACAGGTATCATAACTATTTCATGTTAGAACTAAAGAGAAAGCACGCGAAGCAAATAGATATACATAACTCAGAGGGGTCCCCTGATGGCCCCCAGCCAATCGGGTTGTCAGCAGAAGCCTGCCAAATTAACGGGTAACATTTCGCAGGAGAAAGACTACACCAGGCTCTCAAGGTCATATAGAACAGAAGACAGATAATAAAACCAGTGTAGGCACAGCAGAAATGAAACTCATTATTCCAAAGCATCCCCCCCCCCTTCATGACAGCGAGGCCAGAGGCCTAGCTGACAACTGTCTGCAGTGATCTTGCATCCCAGGAACGTGAATTCTGTCACTGCTTCCATGACTTCCCCTTCTATTTGCCAAGAGTGATGGGGCCAGTTGCCATGATCTTAGTTTTTTTGATGTTGAGTTTCAAGCCAACTCTCCTCTTTCACCCTGAGGAAGAGGCTCTTTAGGTCCTCTTCACTTTCTGCCATTAGAGTGGTAACGTCTGCATATCTGAGGTGGTTGATGTTTTTCCCAGCAGTCTTAATTCCGGTTTGTGATTCACCTAGGCCGGCATTTCGCATGATGTACTCTGCATATAAATTAAATAAGCAGTGTGGCAATATACATCCTTGCCATACTCCTTTTCCTATACTAAATCAATCAGTTGTTCCATGTCCAGTTCTAACTATTGCTTCTTGACGCTTATATAGGTTTCTCAAGAGACGTGAGGTGGTCTGGTACTCCCATCTCTTTAAGGACTTAGAATCATAGAATGTTAGAGTTGGAAGGGACCTTATAGGTCATCTAGTCCAACCCCCTACACTCTGCAGGAGCATAGCCAAAAGATAGCCCTACAACATACCTGAAAGATGGTCGTCCATCCTCCGCTTGAAAACGACCAGTGAAGGAGCATCCACCATCTCCGAGATGTGGATTATAGGGTCGGTGGGTGGGGTTTCTACCACCTTGCATACTTAGCCTGTGTTTTTTGAATGTTCATGGGACGTAGTTCTCGTTCTCCTTCAGTGGGGGGAAGTCATCCAGGAACTGGTTAGGTCACGCCTCTGCTCGCTCGATAGGCTATGCAATTCTGTAGTGTTTCACAAATGTGGAAAAGGACGCCCAGGTGGCCGCCCTGCAAATCTCCTCGACTGTGGCTCATGTAGAGAAGGCGGCTGACGTTGCTGCCGACTTTGTAGAATGCGCAGTGAGCTGGCCTGGAGGTGAGAGTCCCTGTACCTCATATGCCTTTGTGATGCATTGTCTAATCCAGTAGGCCAAGGTGGCCTTAGATGTCTTCTTCCCTTGATTCGGGGCACAATATGCCATGAATAGAGTGTCTGACTGCCGAAAGGTTGCTGTTCTATCCATGTACGTATGTAGAGCCCTACGTACGTCCATCTTGTGCCAGGTTTTTTCCTTCGGATGTGTCGGATTTGGGCAGAATGGCAACGTAATTTGCTGGTTGAGGTGGAAGGCAGAATTTATCTTCGGCATGAAGGAGGGGTCCAGGCACAAGGAGACGGAGTCCTTCTGGAAAACGCAAAGCTCCTTCCTTGCCGAGAGAACGGCCAGCTCGGATATGCGCCTGGCTGTAGTTATTGCGACCAGAAATGCGACTTTCCAAGACAGTAGGCGGAGTTTGGTCGTCTTGAGAGGTTCGAACGGAGGTCCTGTCAAGGCGGTCAGAACCTTGTGGAGACTCCACGTGGGGAACCTGTGCCGGACTGGAGGCGACAGCTGTGTTACCCCTTTTATAAACTACTTTTTTCTTGCCTCCCGCCCCAGACATGCCTGTATGGCTGCCACCTGTCATTTTAGTGTGTTCGGCCGAAGGCCCTGTTTCCACCCTTCAGAGAGAAACAGTATGATTTCCTTGTCTGTGGCGTGTAAGAGTCGTATGCCCCTTGTCGCGGCCCAGATTGTAAATGTCTTCCACGTATGGCTGTATATGCGGTGGGTAGAGGGTCTTCTTGCCTGAAGCATAACCTCGACCACCTCCTTGGCAATCATGCGTGTTCAATTTCCATGCAGTCAACTGAAGCCACGTCGGGTCTGGGTGGAAAATGGGCCCTTGTTGAAGAAGGTCCTGTCTCTGTGGGGTAGCCTGCTTTGTCTATTTAAAAGGGGTAGTCTGGCTTGGAACAGGAGCTCCAGACGTCCTACCAAGCACAGGGCTATGCAGGAACTGGAGAGGTCAGCCTAGGCCACTCCAATAGGAGCCACGCAACAAAAGAAATTTGCATAGCCTATCGAGCGAGCAGAGGTGTGACCTAACCAGTTCCTGGATGACTTCTCCCCCACTGAAGAGAAAGAACCTTCAGGTGGGTCCAATGTACCGTTTTGTGGCTGCTTTATTGTTGGACCTCCTACACCTGGCCCTAGGTGAAGCAAAATCTGAAATACTTTTATGGGCTTGCACTGTAAAATTGTAAATATTGTGGTGTCCAAGTCAAGAGACTTGCATTGATACTATAATGAACCTTGTCAACAGCAGATTACAGGATTGGGACCATAGATTCCTCTTGGTACCGTAGTTCTGAAAAGGTAACTGGATGCTTTGCTCGGAATTTAGATGTTGGCATAACTAAAATAAAATGTTTTGTCATTTTCTTAGCATAAATAATTGTACTAGTTGTACCAACATCAGAAGTTCTAAACCAATATGCCATTTTTCTGTACCCATCAGTTTTATCCTGAAAGGATATTTATGTTACTATAGAGTATGTATTATTTGGATTATATATAGTTAATCTTACACACTTTGATGTACCAATAGCACTTTCAAAATATTCGGTAGATTACTGTCCTGTCCATCTTTATTGTTAATAGATTATTACTTCATGAAGCCTCTTTAATCTCTTTAGCTATATAATTTTTGAAACTATGACCACTATATGTTTTGTTGAAATGTGCATTAATTAATACATTATTAATAAATATTACATTCAGAAGAATTTTAATTTTTTTTCCATCATCATAGCTGACTTATGGCAACCCAGTGGGGTTTTCAAGGCAAGAGACGTTCAAAGGTGGTTTGCCATAGCCTGCCTCCATGTCACGACCCTGTATTTGTTGGTGAGCACCCTTCCAAAAACTGACCGGTGCCAACCTTGCTTAGTTTCTGAGATCTGATGAGATTGGACTAGCCTGGGCTATCCAGGTCAATTTTTATATCAAAACATAAATCTGAGTAATAGGAGACAATCCAGAATTTTCTTGTAATAAGCCATTTGAAATTGATAGTCACGTCCTGCATGTATTTTACATTCCAAAGACAGTTTCCGTAAGTTCTCTTCTCTGATTGTTTCTTAAAGTATTCTAAATTCTTGTGAGCCATTTATCTATTGAGATATTACCAAATATTTGCAATAAAGTTTGATGTTTCTCCTGTTGATAGGAGAATAATTCTCTCTTCTTCCTCTAATGAAACCAATAATCCAGCAATATTTTGTTGTTCTGTCCTGCTTTTTTGTTAAATTATAAGAAACAGTGGCGATATCAATTGTTTTATCAACTTCCTTAAAAGCACATGAAAAAGTAACATTTTAATTTGTCACCCCAAATCCCTCAATGAAGCACCCAGGCAGAAATTACCACAAAGTTGCTGGAATCAAAAGAACTAATTAGTCCAACCCAACTCCAAAGTGGGATTCTTGACTTTTTTCCCTATAGCACAACTTTTTGAAATTTTTCCTAGTTTCAGAAGCTTTCCTGTTTGGCATATTATGTGACTCTCTAATCTTTCAGTATAGTTTTAAATCTTTCCCTGTTATAATATAAATGTTGTGAATTTAAAATATAGTTGGAAAAATACTCTTCTATGCAACACAAGGTGCCTGCTGTTCAAGAAGCACAAGTGCAAACACTTAATTGGACAGTTCTTAGGATCCTGGCTGATGTTTCTTAAATATGAAACTGTAAGCAAAGCTTAAATTAGTTGAATTACTAGGAACTGTGTACTGATCCCTTCAAAACAGCTGTAAATTCTCTCATGCAGTATTGCAATAATGAAGAAAAATAGCTGGCGAGGAAGAGAAAATCATGCACGGAGCAATCGGAGACAAATTTACAATCCCAGGCCGTATCGGATACGCAATCACTGGAGCCATACAGAAAGGCAAGTTTTTGTGATGATATTTTCAGTGTTGTAAACTTGGATACTTCAGAGTGAAGGATGCTACTTAAAGGATTATCTCAGATATTTACAATAATAGCTGAAACTCCCACCATTTTTTTGGCATTTTGATGCAGTTTTCACTATTAATGCTAGATGAGAACTCTATGAAAGTAGTAAGTTTCTGGATACCTTATAATTTTGTAGTATTTCATGTTTTAATTTAGTAATTACTGATGATAGGGAAAAATAATAGATTTGCAGAGAGGTTGGGAAACAGGTTCTTGGCGTCTGCATACGTCCCCCTAACCAATGAGAATTGGACACAGGCCAGATGCTAGTCTAGTGAGTCCTTGTCCAAGGAATTGGAGGAAATATGGTTGTAATATAATGCTTGGCTGTAGACAATGGATTGTGCAGTACACTCAGGGTGGTAGCTAGAAGCCTGTAGATATTTGTAGCAGTCAGTGGGTTTTAAGTATATTCAGTACATCTTGCAGTTGCTTATCCTCTCTCATATGAGAGAATTTCGGAAGAAAATCAGCTTGTGTCTCATAAATTACAGCAAAACATTTGGCTGTGTGAATCATGAAAAGCTATGGTTGGTTTTAAAAGAAACGAGTGTGCCACATCATCTGATTGTTTTTATGTGTAACCTGTACTCTGGACAAGAGGCTACTGTTAGGACAGAATATGGAGAAACAGAATGGTTTCCAATTGACAAAGGTGTCAGACAAGGATGTATTTTATCTCCTATCTGTACAACCTGTATGCAGAACATATCATGAGGAAAGTTGGATTAGATTTAGATGAAGGTGGAGTGAAAATTGGTGGAAGGAATATTAACAATTTGAGATATTCAAGTGGCAGAAAATAGTGAAGGCTTGAAACAACTACTGATGAAGGTCAAAGCAGAAAGTGCCAAAGCAGGATTACATCAAGAAGACAAAAGTAATTACTGGGGAATTACACAGCTTTAAGGCTGATAGTGAAGTAATAGAAATACTTCAAGATTTTATATCCCTAGGCTTCAACATCAACCAAAAGGGAGAGTGCAACCAAAAATCAGAAGGAGATTGAGACTGTAATGGGCAGCCCTGAAGAATCTAGAAAAGTTTCTTTAGTGTAAGGATGTGTTGCTGGCAGCCAAGATAATCCATTCTATAGTATTCCCCATTACTATGTATGAGTGTAAAAGTTGGACAATGAAGGAAGCTGACAGGAAGAAAGCTGATTAATTGGAAATGTGGTGTTGGAGAAGACTTTTACGGATACCATGGATCACCAAAAAGACATCTAAGTGGGTTCTAGATCAAATCAAGCCTGAACTCTTCCTAGAAGCTAAATAACTAAACTAAGTCTATTGTACTTTGGTCAGATTCTGGGAAGATGAGTCACTGGAAAAAGACAATAATGCTAGGAAAAATTGAAGGCAGCAGGAAATAGGAAAACTTAATATGAGATAGATTGACTCAATTCAGGAAGCCGTGGCCCTCAGTTTGCAAGCCCTGAGCAAGGCTGTTAACAGTAGGACATTTTGCAGGTCATTATGGAGATTGCCAGAAGTTGGAAACAATTTGTTGGCACTTAGTGTGTGCACACGCACATACGCATACACACACAAATAATACTCGTATATTATTTATTCTCTTGTTTAGGTTATATATAGTTTGAATGTATAGTAATATAGCCTCATTTATGCCATTTTTAAGTAGGCATGAACAAGAAGAATTGCAAAACTCACAGAATCCAGGTACAAGCCAAAGTGAATATCCCTCTACATCTTCTGGCATGTGCCAGAGCAGTCCAGTACCTGGTAAGGAATGATATGCCAAGAAGCTCCACATTACTGTCATGACCTTTTATTTAACATTTCAGAGAACACTTGACCATCTGTGACTGAAAACTATTTAAACATGTTATTGGTCTCAAATTGGCAAGTTAAATTGACATATAGAAGATAAACTGCTTTGCTGTAGCTAATATCATCCATATTATGTTAATAGATGAAAAATTATTGAAATAACAGAACTTACGTAAATAATGTTGTCCCCCTCCTGTCCCTGCCTATCAAAGGATCCAACTGGGTGTGATGATGGTTACACATCTCTACTAATCTGTTAAAGACAAATTATAGTCATGCATGATCCCAGTTTGAATTGGGTCTGCATGGGGAAGGGAGTGGGGCTTAAACTTTGACCCATATAGTTAATTAACTGAGATTAGGGCACTGCCACTGCACTTCAAAGGAAAAAAATGTACTTATGTGGGGGTGGAAAATTTAAACTCCCTCTCTCTTCCTTTATAACTTCAAATGCAGCTCCGTTGGCTAGGTGTATGTGATCCTAGACACGTTTCCATCTTCAACAACGGAGAGTGAGGTTCCCCCTTCATCTTCATACATAAGAACAGCCAAAGTGTCTGTTGGAATGATTGAAAGATCATTCCATAACTAAATTAATTGTTTAATATTCTATTTTGAGAATCTGTGAGACTTTACATAACATACAGGCAAAACGTCTACATATGTTTAGATTGACATTTTAGGAAGTAAAGCTGAAAACAATTGCTTACTTGGTAAAAAGTGTGACCTTCCTGAAATCTTTCTTTGGCTGTATAGTACACTAAACAACTTGTGTACAAGGTTACAATAGTTATCTTTAAGGTCTAGAATTACTTTGCCATCTAGTTGCGGGATTGCATTCTCTGTTCTGTGCTCTTCTCCCACCCCCACTCCCACCCTCCTAGTATTCAGTATATAAGTGACAACTTGATCCTTTCATTGGGCTCAGTAGCAATGTTTGTAACAACAATATCTTAATTAAACTGAGATTATGAATTTTTTTTTATTGTAAAAAGTCATTGTCTTCCTTATAGGGTTAATTATTTTTCCAGCCAAGCATATGCAGGTCTAATAACTTCCTCTGTATGAACTTTGTAAAGCAATTACTGATATTTGTGTTGGTTGAGCAATTCAAAAGCTTGTTGTATAATATCCATGCTATGGTTAATTTTGACGAGAATAGCAGTTGATAGGAGTAAGTTAGAGCTGAAGGGTCACAGATAAGAGTAGTGATGAGCAATTTGTGTGTGTGTGCACGTGTGCGTACATGCGCGCGAAGGCAAACACCATTTTGGTCTGGATATTTAAAGTGCTATTGAGTTAGATACTTTATTTTTACCCTTGTATTTTAGGAATTCTACCCCGTCCTACTACTCCAGTGTGCAAAGTTTCAAGCCTTCCTCCAACTTAAGTGACTCTTCCATTGGGAGGGACACTAGTTGGAGGAAGTTTCCTTAGGCTGGAGAAAGGCTCTTTGGAGGATGGTTGGATCCACTACACTATCAATAACAGCCTTCTTGGATTTCAACAATCCTGAGCAGATGTCAAAAAGCATGTCCTCTGTAGGCATACATATCATTACTTCTGGCCTCCTGGTGGTTGCTGGTCCTGCCTCTGCCACTTGCACATTCAACCATGTGTTTGCAGCATAGGGTTGCCAGCCAGCAGCTGGCAACTGGTGGGCGTCTGAGGTGGCATACCCATCTAGGCAAAACCATATAATTTCCAGTGACTGTTGTCACTTCTGGGTTTTCCCTGAAAGTGGCATCACGCCATCACCCAATGGCAATTTTCCCCATTATTTTTTCTTCTGTTGGCCATGGGAGCTGAGGATCAAACGGGAAGGCTGCTGCAGCAGGCCCTACGTGTTTGTATTCTGCCATATGATTGGGAATGATGAAAATAACAGTGTTCCGGATTGTAAGGAAGAGCCTACATAACTTCCACTTTTATGATGAAGGCTCAGTACACACATTTAGCATGGGGGGATGCTGGGGGGAGGGCAGGGCCACTGAGCAAGTTCATACTCTCTTCGACGTGTGCTGGGTAGGTGTATGTACTTCCTAAACATCTGCACAGAGCTGATGTTCTACTCAAATATGAGAATTAAATATAGTTCACAGCCTAAATATTAATAGGACATGGACGAATTACTCAAAATTTGATGTTTTTATCTGTCTGACCAGTAATCATGCCAAGCCACCAGAATGTTCTAAATATTATTTCCAGAGTCCTGTTTGAGTCTGGAATACCACAAATGTTTATTTTTCAATGCTTTATAGTTCAAATCATTAGAAGATAAGATACTTCTGCTAACAGAATCTAGTTGTGTTTTATTTCTGTTTTAAGAATTACCAGGATTTTACTATGATCCTGAAAAGAACCGTTACTTCCGCTTGCTTCCTGGGCATAACAACTGCAACCCTCTCACCAAAGAAAGCATTCAGCACAGGGAGACGGAATGTCAAAGACTGAAGCTCTTAGAAGAGGAAGAGAAACGCATGAAGGTAAGATGTTGCATTTAATCTCCCACTAAATTAGAAACATGGAATAAACTTTAGAGCCACAGCCCAACACAAAGTTTGGTAGACTTAAACTAATTGATCATAAGCATGCCTACCTTTGAACTGGTTTTGTGACCTTTCTTTTTTAACATTAGTCTAAGCATCTCTGTTGATAGATATCTGAGTCTTATTACTCTATTAAAAATAGAAATCTTAAATTATTTGGTGATTATATTGGAAGATGCTAGGGATGTAGGCAACCATACACTTGCTAATAATTGTGCATGAAGAATTTCTGGATGTCTTTTGGTTTAAGCACAGAATGTGACAGTATCCTTTTACTCTTTTAAATAGAAAACATCCAGATCTGGGCTGAACTCATCAATCATCTTACGTAAGAGGCAGTTAGGTTTGTTTAGCTCTGTTAGTTATTGCAGGTAAGATCATTTAAAATTCCTTTTTATGCTCAAAAATCTTCTACTGTATCTTTACCCTTAACCTGTTGTCCCAGCCTTCAGTCAGGGAAAAGTGTCAGGATGAAAAGTGTCATCAGGATGCCTAGTTGATGAAGACGCATACTTGCAGATCTGATTTTATACTGTGCATACAATAGTGGGTCTGCCCACTTTTGATTCATCTGTAGTCCACCCTTACCTCAGGCTTCATCTGTTTGACTAAGGGAAAGAGATAGTCTCTGAAGCATTTTGTTATCAAATTTTTATCTTTCTCCAGCTCAATGTGTTTTACAAAAAATACATAGCTGCTGTATATATGTTAATGACCTTTTATTAGACTAGATTGACAAATTCCTTTTCTTTCCTTACTGTTAGGCTGATCCATGAATTAAAGGTGAATTGCATGCAGAGAAGAAAAATAGAAATTGAAAGCCCAGATTCTTCCATTTCTGGGAGCAACAATTTTAAACTGATAGCGGTATGTTGGAGGACTTATTTTATGGTACAAAATTAATTTAGTATTGTCTTTGAATCAGGGATGTGTGATCTTATGTGAAAGATTGGGTTAGATCCAGAGATCTGCAAAAGCAAGGGATATGGATCATTCCTGCTTCTCTCCAAAATTATACCACCTCAGAGCAGTTCACCACTTTTACTTTTATAGGCAGACGCAGCCTGTGAGAGGATATTCACTGTGAATGATGTAGACCACGGAGGATGTAAATATGGAATTGTCGACCTCAGTGGCTTGGGGAAAGATTCTCTTACTGTGGAGATGTACGACAATCTGTACTTCACAAATCGCAAGGTACTGGTAGTTCTGTCATTGAAAATTGTGATTGATTCTGTTAGACCAGGGGTTCCCAACCTTTTTGAGCTTATGGGCACTTTCAGAATTCTGACACAGGGTGGTGGCAGCAGGAGCCAGAGCCCCATGCACAGGGAAAGCCCAAGTGCAAGGGAGAAGAGGGGTAGTTAAAAAATATACCAGGAAAGAGGGGTGAGAGAAAATAAAATAAACATCATGCTGGCTGCTGCCGCTGAAACAATGTTATTTTAATCTGCATAGCAGATCAGATCTTCAGTGGCCAATTAGAAACGGCTGGCATGGCTGCCACAGGCACCACACTCTGTGTTAGACTGTTTCAATTCCAGACTGTAATCCTGCCGTTCGCATTCTTTATCTTTTCGTGTACTTTGTACAGTGCCTGGAAAGTTTAGGCATTTAATTGGGTTTTATAATGGGGGGGATCTGGTCTGGGTTATTAATGAACTAGGAAATTAACTAACTTCAGAGTCGTCACAAACACATTTCAGTTCTTGTTCATTATAAAAAAGGTCTGCTTTCATTAAGCATCTATTTTCAGCACTTCTATAAAAGATCACTGTGTATCTGAGTGACTTTTGGGCTGATTCTTGATATATGAGAGCTTTTGGCAGCAATTTCTTTAGAAGATTTCTATCCTTCCTCTGCACAGTCTGCTCAAGGCAGCTAACAGGAGGATTAAAAAATGAGAATGCAAAATAAAAATGGAAAATTATAATTGAAATAGTTACTAAAATGTGTCTGATACGATAAAACAGAGCAACAGCAGTAAAATCTTTCCCTATATGTTAAAACAGGAAGTAATACTTTGCAGTAGTCTATAACTTGGATGTTCTCTAGGTCACCACTGTGCTTTTGGGTGGACCTTGTGTGAGCAGAATCACTGAGTATGTGTGACTGAAAGGCCAGTGTGGTGTAGTGGTGTGTCGGACGAGGGTCTGGGAGGCCCAGGTTTAAATCCCCACTCTGCCATGGGATGTTGCTAGATGACTTGGGCCACTTGCACATTCTTGGCTTAACCTACCCTGCAGGGTTGCTGTGAGGATAAAATGGTGATGGGAAGAATGTTGTAAGGCGTTTTGGATTCCAATGGGGAGAAAAGTGGGGTATAAATGAAGTAAATAAAATAAATTAATTAAACATAAAAGTGGTCTGTGGAATATTGAAACGATTAAAGAGGTGATGCAGTCGGTAATATTTTATTTTAGGTTAACTACTGCAGTACAGCTACTCAGTGATTCTACTCACACAAAAGATTCTTCTTACTTCTGATCATTACAAATAGGCTGTCTAGTAGCAAGATCTCTTATTGTTCATAGATAGTAGAATGCCATACATCTTGCTTTTAAGAGTGTATTTTATTTATAAGATGTATATGAACCACTTTTCTACTTTAACAAATGCTCAGTGTGGCTTATGAAGAAAGATAATTTTGGGACAGAAAATACATCTTCTAAAACAGACAGTAATGTTACTACTAGGGGTGTGCAAAAAAAAAAAATTCGGTAAAATTCGGATTCGGGTTTATTGAACCCGAATTTTTTCGGGAAACCCGAAAAAACCCGAATTTCTATATCCGTAAACCATAGATATCCGAAAATTTTCGGAAAACTCGAAAAATTCGGGTCCATTATAACCAATGGGGCCATTGAAGTCAATGGCAAAAAACCTCTTGAAACTTTGCGGGGGGCTGGGGGGGAGGGGGTACGAAAATTTTCGGAAAACTCGAAAAATTCGGGTCCATTATAACCAATGGGGCCATTGAAGTCAATGGCAAAAAACCTCTTGAAACTTTGCGGGGGGCTG